ACATTCGCCTGCCGTATTTCATTTTTCTGTTATCTTTCTAGATTAGCTATATATGTACGCATCTTGTGACTGGCTGTATCTATCCGGCACACATCCTTGTTCCCAAATTATTCACACAGCAGTAGCACAGATGAACACTGCACGTTTTTGATCTCCGAAGCTCCTAGACGGATTTTGATGAAATGTGGCACCGAGGTTCACAGTAATAATTGACATTCGAAATTAATTTAAACACGCACTAGTCATTTATAATCATGTCTTTACATAACCTCAGTGGAACTTACCACATTTCTCAGAAATCGTTTATCGTAAACATATTAGTATATGACATAAAACGTTCCTACTTTTGTACGAAACAGTTTTCGATATGTTCAGTATTAACGGCGTACAAAGGAATGTAATTTCTGACTGCAGTATGATATCTGCAGCGCTGTTTTCATTGCAATATATGTGTATGTGCAGTGAAATAAATTAACATCTTGACAAAGGAGGTATGTAAATTAATAAAAAACGCACGTGGAGAATATTTTCCACCATATTTTCCCCACCCTTTGGGGCTTCCCTGCCTGAGTGGGTTTAGCGGCTTTTGCGAGACAGTATGTGACGTCGGATCGTGTTTTAAGTGAATCCCAGACGGTGTTCTGCACATGGAGTAGTTGCTTGACGGGAAGTTCATGGTTAATTATGTCTTTCTTACAGGGAGAGTGTAAGTCAGACCATTTTAAATTGCGGGAGGAAGTTGTGAGAGGTGGGAATTAGCAGGAAGGCTGACGTCTGCGAAGTGAGTCAGGCAGGAAAGTGTGAATAAGTGTCGTGTTTAGTTTTGCACATGCCTTTGCTGATTGTCACGTAGCTGAGTGTGTTAGTCGATGAGCTCAGAATCGTCCTCTGCTCTGATATTATTTGCTAGTGTTATTTTGGGAATTGAATATTTATCTGAACCAGAATGCATATATCACAGTCTGTAATTTTACTGAATGATAGTTGTAGTTAATGAAATATGAAGATCAGCATTGAATAAATGCAACCAGAACTAAAGAGTGAAGTTTAGCTTGAGGAAACAAAAGGAAAAAAAGAGGCAATGCCAGGATAAGAAAGCATAAAAATAAATGTAGGAAAGACGAAGGAAGCATCCTTAAAAGAGGGGAAGGAACTCAGAAATAAGAAATAAACTAAGAAGGGAGGAAGTTAAAGGAGAAGAGAATAGGAAGACAAAGTAAATGGAGTATACACCCTTTCCCTATAGTTTCAAGGGTAGGCCCAAGTTGTGCTGTGTCTGGAGTGACTTAAATGCTATTCGAAGTAAGGGGAACAGTGCCTGCTTACTGATAAGCTGCAAGTCAGCTAACGAAGTAAGTGGGACAGATAAGATTGTGATTCCACATAGAGCCAGGCTCACTGGTATGAAGAATGCATTGCTCAGCACCAGGGTTTTGTGATAATTATTTGTACCGTCTCTTGGGCATGGAAACGGTCAATTCATAGTGTCAAAATACAAAAGCTCTGTATAGTGGCGTCGCCTTGTGCTCAACTGTTGTCGGGAAAATTATAATTTTTACTCAGTTTTGCTTTTTCTTGCAGCCGAAGAAGTTACTGACATATTTGAGGAAACAGAACATAGTAAAGCCATGAAGGATAGTTTTATGACCCATTTTAAGCCTACCTTCTCGAAATGAGAAACGTAGGCTTATGAGGTCTCCAAACTTTGTCTCTTATGTAAAGTTTTGAGCCAGTTGACAGATCTCTACGAAATTCGGCATGAATGTTAACGCCACTGGAGGCCACTCCATCTTCGTACTTGTTAATTTCCTGCGGTAAGAAATAACCTGGCGGACGCACGAATATATGAGGTGGGGGTGGCATTAGCTACGTTTGAATTGTACCTCGAAATGATGTATGGTTGTGGATGCTTCTGTGACTCGAGTAGGATTCGATTCTGTGCCATCAGCGCACAAACTCAGCGCCCTTACCCACGATAATTTTATTTCTGTATTACGGGCTTGCATTGCCTAAATATAACGTTAAGAACACGAGATTTGTAGCACCTGAAGTCTGTGTACTAGGAAAGCAGGCGCTGTGAGTTCTGTCCGGTACTCCTTGTTTCATTACTACACACTGTTCCTTTTCGGTTGCTTCTGAAATAAAACATAAGATGGCATTCATGACGTCATTGGATGTCCGTAATCATACCATGTATTATTCGTCCACGGTCTGTACCTCACCTGCTCTTACATATCAGGCGCAAAGTGCATTACCGATTCGATAAATATATGCTAAATGGTGTCAGACTGTACTGATCGAGTTTTTCTGTGAAGTTCCATTAGTTCAGTCGGTATAGCGACGGACTAAGGCTGGATAGCCAACTAATCGGGGTTCTATTCCCGGCTGGGGTAAGAGGTAGTCCACAGTCTTCACACCGGCTCTGGGACCCACCTAGACTCCTAGTCAGTGGGTGTCCGAGTAATAAACCGACAAAAATATCGTGAAGGAACGTCATAGTTTCTTGTAAGATACATGTTTTGTATTGTAGAAAGCCGCTATTACAACAATATCTATTAAGTGTATTCTGTCGAAAGCACTGGCCAACGTCTTAAGGTTCGGCCACACAGAGCGATACATACGCGACGCACGCTACGTACGCTATGTTCGCTATACGAACAGAAAAATATCTCTCTTTATTGCCAATGTAACTGGCCACACAGACTTCCGTACGCTACGTACGCTATGTTCCCTATGTTAGCTGCGTCGTAGAGTGTACACAGCGTACGTAGCGAACATAGCGTAGCGCTCTGTGTGGCCGAACTTTTATTATTGCTGTGCGATATAGCTCAGCAGACAGACAGAGACAGACGTTATGCATAATCAAATTACAGCTTCTTAACGCCACCCAAGGTACGCATTTCCCCGTCCTTCTTTTGATTTGCGATAAAGCATTTAATTATTTTGCAGTAAGGTAAAAATACTAGCTCATAAGTTAGGGATGGTCCATTATTATTGTGTTCGGGGGCGGGACGGATTATTTCAGAGCGACCGCAGGTTTGGGAGTCTCATGACAAATTCCGTAGCTGAAAAATTAACTAGGTATCACTTAACCGCACTGACGGAGCATACTTTATAAATACATTAATTGCACACTGATAAACGTAATGATGTCATACGTGGTATCCTACGTGTAAACAAGACTAAGTGTATGTTACTGTCTCGTCACCAAAATTCAGGGCAAAATCATGACATAAAGATAGGAAACAGATGTTATGAAAATGTGGCACAGTTCATATATTTGGGAACGACGATAACAAATCAAAACCTGATTCAGGAGGAAATTAAGAGGTGATTGAACTCGTGTAATGCTTGCTACCATTCAGTCCAGAACCCTTTGTCTTCTCGTCTGATGTCCAAAGACATAAAAATTGGAATATACAAAACTAAAATTTTTCCTGTGGTTCTGTATGGGTGTGAAACTTGGTCTCTGACATTAAGGGAGGAACATAGACTGAGGGTATTTGAGGACAGGGTATTGAGGAGAATATTTGGACCGAAGAGAGATAAAGTGACGGGAAGTTGGAGAAAACTGCATAATGAGGAGCTGGAGAAAACTGCATAATGAGGAGTTTCATAACTCGTACTCTTCTCCAGGTGAAATTAGAAGGTTCATGTCAAAGAGGATGCAATGGGCAGGGCATGTAGCACGAATGGGGCGAAGAGGAATGCATATAGGATATTGGTGGGGAAGCCAGTTGGAAAGAGACCACTGGGGAGACCAAGGCGTAGGTGGGTGAACAGTGTTAAAATGGGTCTTAGAGAGAAAGGATGGGATGGTATGGATTGAATTGATCTGGCTCAAAATAGGGATCAGTGGAGGGCTGTTGTGAACGCGGTGATGAACCTTCGGGTTCCACAAAATGCTGGGAGGTTCTTGAGTAGCTGCACAATTGGCGGCCTCTGAAGAAGGGTTTAGCTTCATGAGTGAGTGATGGTGACTTAAACTCTGGTACCCTGAAATTAAGACACCAATAAATTGAATCTTGGTTGGCTCTGCTCGACTTCCGTCACCCTGCTGCACGTATACTAAATGAAAACAGTATGTCTGCATATGCTAGAAGACCAGAAAGTTTCATTTCTATAAAATATCTATTTCTGTTTAATTATTTGCAGTTTTGAAAACACGGCACAGTGCTTTCTATTCTAGGTATGAAGAGGTAAACGCTGGTAACTGAACATCAATTACGAAGATCGCATTTGGAAAATTGAGTATCCCTACTCCATTGGAATTACGCATTTTATCTTGTATCACTGCATTACAAATTAATATACATGGATGTACAACGCTGTGCCTCTACCTTTCATGAATACTCGTATAAAGGTGTGTGCATTCATAACCTCGTTACGAGATTGAGGTGAGCGGGTAACTTTACGATTCTGTTGCTGACCTCCAGGAATAGGATCCCGGGCCCCACTGAAAAGGATACTGAATGCAACCCTGACCTCGGTACCTGCTTTGGGAATTCCCAGATAATTTCAAATAGACCATTGCCATCTTCTTGCGAGTCCTTCCCTGTCCATAGTACAGTGTCTCCTTACCTTTTTAGTTTATGTTGCACAAGCTTACACTGTATATAGCACCGTATAATAACATAGAAATCCAGCAGCGAATTGTGTATTTGGAATAATTTGTTACGCGGAATTTAATACAAGGACGTTTAAATAAATGCTCATTGTTCAAAACACCAGGGAATAATAATTTCGGCGTGGAAAGTAGCTGTTCTGTCGTGCCTTTCCACAGTCCTGTGCAAATTCTGGGATAATAATTCAGAGTAGGCTACGACTGTTTCCTTGTATGGCCTTCCAAAATGGGATTGTGATGGAAATTTTCGAGGGTGTGAAAGCTGTGGAATTGGAAAACATTCAAATTTATGTTTAGCAGTTAGGCAGCAATGTCTTTGAATTTGCAGGAATCAGCTTCAGAATTAGGCTAACACAAAAATAATTTTGATTTGCAGATGCATTACTTGCGGATCTCCAGAACACGATATCCCCAGGCAGTGGGTTGACGTCACCCGGCAGTGGGTCTGGTTCAGGATACGGGTCACTGAATGGCACTCGGGGAAGAGAGACTTCAGGGCACGGAGGAGATTATGGTACAACAAGGAGCATTACCACGGAGCGGTACGAGACCCATCACTCGCAGGGCACTGTCTCGGTAAGTGCATGGTAATACTATTTGTAGAGAAGGCAGTGCTGGAAAATTTTGCTGTGCCGTGTATGTGTGTTTTGTATGTATCGCAAATGTTGGAGGGGACCAGGTACTAGCACAGACGTAAATACAAGCCGAGTCCCAAATTGTAACAGGATGTGCTACTAGTACAATACAGGCTGAACCTCAGGTTGTAATAAGATACTGTCAAAGAAATTGTAAATGAAAGCCGAGTATGAAATTGTGACAGGATACTAGCACAGAAATTGTAAATACAGGTCGGGTCTCGGAGTATAACAAGATACTAGCACAGAAATTGTAAATACAGGTCGGGTCTCGAAGTATAACAAGATACTAGCACAGAAATTGTGTTTTAGTTAGCATGGAATTATAACCGAATATTAATACAGTAGTTGTAAATAGTGAACTGGGATACTGCCAATATATTATTATGTATTCATTAAGTTTGATCTAGTTTTTGATTGTCATCTCCCAAATACCATGTTGTACTGAGGCAGTGTACATAATTAACATAACGATAGCATAATACGTTCATCTCATGATCCACGCGAGCGGCGTGAGCGTTTCATATCCTGTTTGTTCCAGTACCAGGCTGGCACTTCTGGGCTCCGTCAAGTACTGACCTTAGCGTAAACTGTGTTTATAGTTGCAGCAGCGCCATTGTGGCGCTAAATTAAGACGCGTGCATTCTTATGACATTACCATCACCTCCCATAATTTTCTGCTTTCGCAAGGGTTTTCTGAAAATTGTCGGGAACACGACGTACCCTGGACATTGGTGCTTGTAGCGCTTGCGCAAAGTAGTTGACCTGGTAAAGACTACCGGTGCCCCAAAGAAGTAACAAGTGTAAGTGTATACCGCAGAGTGAAGTATCGAGGATTTCAAAACGAATTTTCTGCTATTTTTCTTTCTCTACTGGTATTGGTGTTAATTACTGCATACCCAAATAGGCTGGTAATACATACACTGCACTACATGCAGTAAAAACCGGTAAAGGAATTGCACATGCTTTCTCAAGTACTGTTATTTTCCTGAAGGTACCACCTCTGCGCTCATGTTTAGGAAGATGATCTCATTTGGCCAGTGACCTATGCTCATTTAAAGTCCGAAGTGCCGAATATGAATAAAATCCGTCCAACCATTCAAGCTGTAGCAACCAATATAGTATGTATATATACCTACGTCCAGGAACCATTTTTCATATTCAGGACTGGAAACTTGTAAATTCGTCAGAATCTCCATATATATTTTGTCACCATCAGATTGTTTTCTCATGTACGTACGTGTATAGCTTTCCACACGTTGGGACTCTGTCATTGAGAAGCAGGGGGACTATATTGAAGGACTGTAAAGAGATATTAAAAAAAAATAAACATGGACGTAAACAGAAAATTGTGTGCGATATTTCTGAAATGACCTATGTATATAGCTTGTACATGAGAGTAAAGCGTTAAACATTTGTCAAAGCTAGACAGTGGCTCAGATATGCTGCAGAGAAAGATATATGTTCTCTTTTGATATTGATAAATATGCACTATGTTGAAACATGTTTCAAATTTGAGTTTAATGTAAATTATGGCCATAGTGGATCGATACTTTGCCCGCCGAAACAGACTCCGTCAGAAAACTCTCAGTTTAAATGTGCATTACGAAAAATTAGAGATGAACTATAGCAGAGACTCCGTAAGTAAGTCCTTTTCCCTCTTTGTTTCCTTTGCCAGGCGCTGAGTTGAATTAAGGAAACAAGTACCGTGTGTTTGTTGGTATAGCCTATTTTGACGCCAGTTTATAATATTTATGATTGAAATGGCACCAGCACAAACGAAGAGATGGCAGAGGCGTTTATTTTCACAAGTTTTAGCACGAAAACAAACAGACGTGTTCAGAGCAGAAGTAGCCGGAATGTGAGTGAGGTATGTCAGTTGTAGCGTAGAAGAGGATTTGTTTATGTTTTCATGTTGTTCTAATTTACACGTTTATTTCACTGAACTGACAAATCCTGGGAACTAAACGTGTAAATAGAGACTTTAATTTTGAAGCTGCTGATGTTCATATGTCGAGTGAACTATAGAAGCCAGCCTTCGTGTAGTTTGCATGTTACTCCGAACAGGGGCACCACATGTAAGAACGTTCAGTCAGGCCAAATTGTTAGGTTGGTGATCTGTAGGTGTCCTGTGGAATCAGATTTGGCTGGTGTGCAGAATGAATGATCCGTCATGCACATGGTGCACAGACATCTAGCCAGAGAGATACGAACTTCACAGTTCGTGGTGTTCTAATTTGAGCAATGTCTGCAAGATGGCTCTCGAGGGAGTTTAGAAATATCTCCGAGGCTTTCATCACTTAGATGTAACAGTGCTTTAATGACGTGTACATGTGTGTAGAATTGATGAATTCCGTGGTCGTCGATTTTTTTTTTAATTGATGGTTTCTTATATGGTCAGTATATTTCCCCGAATTTTTATTTCCGTGACCCGTATAGCCAACCGTTGGGCTCTAATCCGGAACCAGTTCAGTTCAGTTTTCTCCTTCAAATCCTGTTTCTGTAAAATCCATTTTCCTATTGTCATTTCATCTACACCCAGGTCTCCCAGAATCTTCTTCAGTTAAAGTTTTGTACATATTTATCATTCTCATGGGTGCCACAGGTCCTTGCATTTTCATGCTCCTTTTTTATCTGAAAAAAAAAAAACAAAAAACAAACTCTTTGATTTTAGTCCGCAAGCGAAGTATACCGACTGAGCGACCGCCACGTGTCGGCGAAGTTTAGTGCCAACTTCTGCGGATAGATGGTGTCGCGTGGTCAATGCAACGAATACCCACGGCCGTTAATTTCGGGTTTCTAGACCGGAGCCACTATTTTCTTGAAATAGCACCTCAATTATCATCACGAGGCTGAGTGGACCCCGTTCCAGGCCCACTACTTCTCCGAAAAAAATCTGGTAGCGTCGGGAACCGAACCCGGACCTCTGGATCTGTAGCCAGGAACGCTGACCACTAGACCACAGAGGAGAAAACTGCATAATGAGGAGCTTCATCACTTGTACTCTTCTCCAAGTATAATTAGAATGATCAAGTCAAGGAGGATGAGGTGGGCAGGGCATGTAGCACGAATGGGGGAGACGAGGAATGNTAAAATGCTGGGAAATTCTGGGGAGCTGTAGAATTGGCGGCTTCTCAGGAAGGGCTCGGCTCCATAAGTAAGTGGGAGTAAGTAAGACTTCTGCACTACTTGTTAGCGGTCGGATTATTTGTCGTTTGTGACGGAATCCATCGTTTTGTATAAGTTCAAGAAAGCACAGTATTTAATAAGACTGTGTAAATAGAAAACTATAAATATTCTAGCAGAATATTTTTCGTTAATTTCTCATGTTTCTTCTCCTTTTCAACACTGACGTTTTCCCATTTGAAAACTGTAACAGGCAATTGTACACGGGCTTCACTCTGTGTCGTTGCGATCAAAGACATTACACGATAAATACGGGGATCGCTTAATCAAGATTCTGTTTTAGATAGATTTTTAATAAACTTGTTCTTCTAATTTATGCTCGAGTAGAGTTCTTTACCTCCGAAGCATAAGGGAAAAATACGAGTAGGTGATATAGTTGTATGGACATCAGCCCATATGATCTGAAGCACAATGTAAAATTCTGTAAGTATGTAAGGTAACATATATTCAGTACAAGTATACATGATTTAGTGTTGTAAGTAGTAATATCCTTCATTCCCTACGTAACTTCCTCTCCATGAGGTACAAACATCTTCCTAAGTACACTGAGCATCAGAATTATGAATGTTTGTACGGACGTTGTGCACGGCAGGAGTGAACAAGCTTTGTGATATCGCGACCTCCCTAAATTAACACAAGTTTACGCTACATCTTGTCTCTGTCTGTCAGCGAAAAGTGCAGTTTTGTGCTGTTTTTGTTTTTTGCATCCCGTTACCGTATAAAGCCGCCTAGAAAACCGAAATTAACAACTGCGGGGATTCATTGCGCTGTCCATGTGGCACCCTCTATCTGCAAAAGTTGGCACTAAACTTCGCCGACAAGCGGCGATCGCTCGGTCGGTATAGTTCGCTTGCGGACAAAATCACAGAGTTACCATATAAAGTTGAGGTATGGCAGCCCTGGACACAACACCGAAGCAAGTTAAATTTGAATAAATTCGATTAAGATCAATAAAATATATCAGTGTTTTAAACGATTTTATTGTCTCTTTCAACCAGTACGTGTTTTCGGTCGTGTGGACCATCGTCAGGTGGTTTGCAAATAAACGAATAAAATACATTATTGCTGAATGAAAAGGGCCTAATTTTTACAGTGAAAATGACGTAATAAATTATTGTATTAAGTGATGAACGGTTCTGGACATTGTTGCAGGGCCCTGTTGGGGTGTACGGTGACAGCAGGAGCCTGAATAGCTTTTACGATCTCTGTACACCTACAGTAAGCTATAAAATGCTCCTCTGGAGTCACAAAACAAATCACTCTGTGTTTTGTTAACTGAAGCTTTATTTTCTACGTGCTTCTATATTAAAACATACTGACTCACTATTTGGCTAAAACCGTCTGTGGTACCAGTATATGTTGAAAAATTCTTTAGATCGTGACGATTCCTCTGAGTGTAGGTCGCGATCCCTTCCACAGTTTGAGAAACCTTAGTTTACGGGTTTTAAGGAAATGACGTAACGTGGTTGAGCCAGTTACATGACATCGGCATCCTTTGGCTGAGCGTCACCTGTCATAAATAGCGGCCAACTAGTGTGAGATGAAACAAGCATATTATCATGGGCAAAGTCAAGTTGTCAAGCCGTTAGTTAACACGCTGTCATTAATGAAGACAACATGGAATTGATTCCGAAGTGCTTCTTTCAGACTGTAGATATATTTCTCTTGGTCTTTGGCCAGGTCTCCTTCTCCTGTTGAGAGAACAATGCGGTTGTTTGGCAATGAAACGACGTCTCCAATATATTAAACCTGTAA